GAGAAGGCAAAACTATAGAACACAACAGTTTGGTCCTGCCAGGGGCGGTGGGTGGGAAGAAGAGAGAGGACTGGTTACAAAGGGTCATGAAGAACTCTTTGGGTGATTTAAATCTTTGGTTTTGTGATTGTGTTGGGCGTTACATGACCATACATTTTTTTAAAAAACACAATTTTAAGTGTTCACTTAAAATTGATTAATTTTTGTGTAAAGTATTTCTCAAGTCTGATTTTTAAAATGTAGTGAGAAGAATGGCATTCTTTTCTATTTTCTGCAGATCTCCATAATGTCTTGCTTAATAAAAGACATCTCAATTCTGATACTAGCTTCTGCATTTAAACTGTCATCCTGTGTTATTTTGCTTAAAGTATATGAAAAATATCCAGTCTGTGAGATAGGTTATTGAAAAGAGGAAGAGTGTTTCAATAAATGTTTTAGATAACTTGGATATTCTTTGATACTACACTAAGTACGGCAGTGTTATTTCAGAAATGTTAATTACAATAGAATTTGAAAATATATTAATGAAGTTTTTGTACTTTACATTAAAATCCTCTTGTCAGGCACTTTTTATCTGTGAATTTATAACATCATTTGTTGGTTATTTGGAAAATATTGTTTTATTGAGATCCAAATGTTTGCATATTTTATTTATATATTATAATACTAAAAAATAGCATTCCTCGCCCAGCTGATGTGGCTTAGTGGTTGAGTATTGACCAATGCACCAAAAGGTTGCTGCTTCATTCCCAGTCAGGGCGCATGCCCAGGCTCAATCCCCCATGAGGGGTGTGTAGGAGGCAGCTAATGGATGTTCTTTCTCATCGATGTTCTCTCTAATCAATGTTTCTCTCTTTCTCCCTTCCCCTTTCTCTCTCTAAAAAATTAATTAAAAACATTTTTAAAACATAGCATTCCTTAATATCACTACCCATCTCATCAGCAAAGTATTGGTTAACTGGCAAGCTCACAGAGATGGATGCAATAGTATCTCTTTGGTGTCACTGCTGGAGAGGGGGTGAGCCTGTCCAGTCTTGGAAGAGCTTGGTTTGGTCTTGTACACCCCTGGTTTACAGGCAGACCCAGAGACATCTGACTGTAAAAGCCGGTCTAAAAAAAGGGTAATTAAGGTGGTCAGAGAGTGAAGGGCTTGACTTGGCACTAGAAAGATTGTGGTATTTCAACTTGAAGAGGCAGAAAGGGTGATATGATTCAGGTATTAAAAATCTTGAATTTGGGCTGAAACCGGTTTGGCTCAGTGGATAAAGCGTCGGCTTGGGGACTGAAAGGTCCCGGGTTCGATTCCGGTCAAGGGCATGTACCTTGGTTGCGGGCACATCCCCAGTAGGGGGTGTGCAAGAGGCAGCTGATCGATGATTCTCTCTCATCGATATTTCTAACTCTCCATCTCTCTCTCTCTTCCTCTCTGTATAAAATCAATAAAATATATTTTTTTAAAAATCTTGAATTTGATTTGGTTGAATGTGGTCTTATTCATCAGTTCCCACAATTATCTGAGCCATTTAAGACTTTTAAGAGGTAAATGCAGGGCATCTAACCAGCAGAATGGAGATTTAAAACTCGATAAAGTACTCCTTGCCAAATGGCAGACCTTCTAAAATGAGGTGAAGGATGAGTTTGAACAGGTTTATTAGTCACTAGAGGCCCGGTGCCTGAAATTCACGCACTGGGGGCAGAGGGTGTCCCTCAGCCCAGCCTGTGCCCTCTTACAGTCCAGGAGAATGTCCGACTGACAGCTTAGGCCCCTTCGGCAGTCAGACATCCTTAGTGCTGCCGTGGAGGCAGGAGGCTCCTGCCACTGCCACTGCGCAGGCCAGCTGTGATCCCGGCTTCTGGCTGAGTGGTGCTCCCCCTGTGGGAGCATACTGATCACCAGGGGCAGCTCCTGCGTTGAGCATCTGCCCTCTGGTGGTCAGTGCGCAGTATAGCGACCAGTCAGTCCACCATTTGATCGATTTGCATATTAAACTTTTATTACATAGAATAGTCTCTTGGCATTTTTCTTTTTTCTCTTTTTTGATTACAATATTATATTAGTTTCAGATGTACAACCTAGTGATTCAACATTTATAAATCTTATGAAATTGTTTTTTGAGCAGTGATTATTGGACTTCTTGGGCCAAAGCCAGAGCAGTGGCTGCCATTTACTTTTTGGTTTCCTGCCTAGGTGTAGGAGTAATTAGATTTTAAAAAGAAAATATCTTTTAATCCTGGGATTTTATTGCTTCAGAAGATAAAGTCATTAAGCCTCCTAGGCTGTTAATGAGATTACTTTGCAAGTTTCTTGTGTAATTCTTAAACCCACAATCCACAGCTACACAATGGAGTTAAAACGGCCTACACCTATTCTAAATAAACTCCAGAGCCCCCATGGTGCTGTTTCCCTACAAAAACTGCCATGATGCGAGCCCATTTGTATTTTTTATTTTGGGGAGGTGAAGAAGTACAAAATAATTATCCTTAAATGCATAGAGTTAAATAGGACTTGAAATATCACCTACCCTGTTTCCCCGAAAATAAGACAGTGTCTTATATTAATTTTTGCTCCCAAAGATGCGCTAGGTCTTATTTTCAGGGGATGTCTTATTTTTCCATGAAGAAGAATACTGTACACATTTATTGTTAAATGAAAATAAAGGAAATTTATTACCTATATATGGTACGGTAGTACGGTAGTTGTAAACACAAACCAGACAAACTGTGAATCCTACAGTATCAAGAATTTACTCCTTTATTCAGTGACACTCATGTCATCATCTTCTGGAACATCATCATAACAATCCAATTCCTGAATTTCCTGGTGAATTTCTTGTGACTCCATTTTTTTCAGAATCAGTGGACCAAATCTCTTATGTTTAGCAATAGCCCTGTCTTTAAATGAGTACTTCTTGTCAAGGTAGCCTGCTCGCAGTGCATTTGCAATGCAACTGTCAGTGATCTTCTCCCATCAATTCTTCACCCAAGTCACAACTTATTGCAGTTTAGGTTTCACAAAATTTCCACACTGATTTCTCTTCATTCTATTTTCACTGGTTACTAGACGCCAGTTGGAGTGGCCCTAGCGACCAGTTTTCGGTACTGAGACAGAGCCTGAGGGGGCCTTATTTTTGGGGGGATGCCTTATATTTCAGAAGGAAACCTGTAAGTAAGTCTTATTTTCGGAGGATGTTTTATTTTCGGGGAAACACGGTAGCTTGTAATCTTAGGATCTCACCTGTTCCTAAAAAGCTAGTTTTCCAGTAACCTTTATGGCCAACTTATATTTCTTTTGCTGAAATTTTAACCATTATCTTATTTAAAACTTACCAGATACTTTATAACCCAGCACCTTGGTTTTAGTTGGAGTTTTCATACAGATACAATACACATAAATGTATTAAAATTAGAAGCAGTCTCTCCCTAGTGGCTAATAATAGTACATTTATGGATCAGGATATTAAAATAAATGTGCAAATGGAGGTAAACCTGGCTCCTTCTACAGTGCAGGAGGGAAGTCATTTGAGCCTTCCTCACCAGGGATTTTGCTTGTGTAGACAAGAATTTTCCATTGCCGTCAGTTACCTACTTTGCCAGAGCCGTAGCACAGCTCAGACAGGGAATGGCTGGAATCGGAAGGGTAGCCCTAGGAAATGCAGTTTCCCCTACACGCAGGCGTTCTTAGTATTTGCTTGAGGGAAAAACAGATTACTGTATGCAACAGTTTCAAAACTTTGTTTTAAAATAATTTTTTGTAGTATGATTATTTCTGAAATGAATTTTTTTTTTAAATATGACACTTTGAATTATGGCTTCGGTGTTTATAGATGCTAGATAAGTAAAGTGCAATCGCAGCTATTTGAACCATGATTCAAATCACAAATAATCCTCAAGTCATGCCCTAACAATGACTGGTTACTCTTTATTGAGTAAATTAACTCATATTATTTTTTTAAAAATATATTTTATTGATTTTTCACAGAGAGGAAGGGAGAGAGATAGAAAGCTAGAAACGTCGATAAGAGAGAAACATCGACCAGCTGCCTCTTGCACACCCCCTACCCGGGATGTGCCCGCAACCAATGTACATGCCCTTGACCGGAATTGAACCTGGGACCTTTCAGTCCACAGACCCACGCTCTACCACTGTGCCAAACTGGTTTCGGCTTAACTCATATTATTAATGATGACCTAGAGGTCAGGCTTAAATTCTTTTCAGAGGTGTAACGAGGTAGATTGGTGGAGGGAATGTCTTAGATTGCTCAAAGGGTTCTGATAGGAAATAGGCAAGAAGTGTAAAGGAAAAGAAAAGGGACTTGAAATGGATATTTGTTTTTATTACCCAACTTTCCTAGCAGCTTCTGGTTTTATATTTAATTAATATTCATCTTACTATTCTTTTGTGTCTTTGAAATAGAATGGTGTCTTAGAAATTAGAAGGTGCCTTTTGGATATATTTAAGTAAGCATGCTCTGGCTGGTGTTTATTGGTGGTTAGAGCATCAGCTCATGGACCTAAGGGTCATGGATTCAATTCCTGGTCAAGGACATGCACCTGGGTTGCAGGTTTGGTCACGGATCCCCGTCAGGGCTAGTGTGAGATGCAACAAATCAGTGTTTCTCTCTACTCCCCCCCTTCCCTTCCTCCAATGCACTCTTTAAAAATCAAAGGGAAAAATATCCTCCAGTGAGGATAAACAACAACAAAAAAGCAGTATCTTTCATGTTCTATCAAAAGCCTTTCTGGAGTATTGGGTTTGGGAAGAAACCTACAGTAGCGAACTAGGACTGTCATGTTTCCGTGTTTGTAGCTGAGGAAGGAGAGAGCTAGGAAAGGCTCCACAATCTCCCAGCACCTTGTATTCCTGTGCTTGCCAGCTTTTTCATTTATTGCAAGTGATTCCCAAGAGTGCTATTCTTGAGCGAGCTTGTACACTTCTTGATGGTTATAGATGTATAACTTTTATAATCCTTGCTTTGCTGAGAGAATCTTTTTAATTTCAGGTAAAAAACATCAGAATGAATTTCAGCTTCTGGTGGATCAGGCCAAAAAAGGATATAAGAAAACTGTTGAAATGTCAAAAAAGGATACAAGAAAACTGTTGAAATGTCAAAAAGATGAACCTACAGAAATGCTATTCCCTGTATGCCTGGGTAAGAGACTTTAATTAAAAACAGAAATAATGTTGAGTTTCACTATTCATTTTAATATAAAAAGAAAATTAAGCCAAAGGAATTTACTTCGTATTTAATAGATATTTGACATGGGGAAAGGTATTTTAGACTTAAAGCAGTTGTTGAATATCAACTAGGTTTATAGCTCTGGGAAAAATGACTGGGAGGATGACCTGAGATACAGTTTCTAAAGCTTCCTTTGGCCTGGCTGGTGGTTCAGTGGTTAGAGCGTCGGCCTGTGCAGCAACATGTCTTGGGTTTTGATTCCTGATCAAGGGCACTACCAGAGTTGCAGATTCGATCCCAAGCCCCGTTCCTGACAAGTGGGGAAGGCAACCAAGCTCTCACATTGATGTTTCTCTCTCTCTCCCCTTTACCCTCCCTCCCTTTCATTCTCTAAATATCTAAATACGATTATTGGCCTTTTGTTTGTTAAAGTCCTTTGCCCATTTTTTAATTGGGTTGTTTGGTGTGTTTTTGTTTTTGTTTTTCTCATTCTTGAGTTTTAGGAGTTCTTTATACTGGATATTAATGCTTTATTATAAATGTGATTTGCAAATGTTTGTAAGCATTGCATGTATAGTTTTTGTTTAATAGTATCTTTTGATGCATCTAGGTACTTGATTTTGAAGAATTTAATTTATCAAATATTTTTATTGCCTATACTTTTGGTGTTCTGTCCATGAAGTTGTTGTCAAATCAGTGTCATGAAGATATTCTTTTATGTTTTTTCCTAAGAGTTTTATCTTTTACATCTAGGTTTTGATCCATTTTGAGTTAATAGAGTTCAACTCATTCTTTCAGATGTAGATAATTGTTTTCTGAGCACCATTTGTTAAAAAGACTGTCCTTTTCCCATTGAATACTCTGACTTGTTGAAAATCAGTTGATCATATATGTGAGGGCTTATTTCTGTAATCTCTGTTCTATTGATCTATATCTGTCATTATGCGAGCAGTATACTTTTTAAATTATTGTAGCTTTGTAATAAATTTTGAAATTGATATGAGTTCTACAGCTTTCTTATTCATTTCTTATTCAAGGTTATTTTGAGTCCCTTGAGATTTCATGTGAATTTTAGATTGGATTTTTCTGTTTGTAAAAATTGCTATATGATTTGCATTGAATCTAGAGATTGCTTTGGTTAGTTTTGACATCTTAACAATACTATCTTCAATCATAAATGCAGGATAATCTTTCATTTATATATCTCTTCTTAATTTCTTTCAACAATGTTTTGTGTTTTCAGTATGCAAGTCTTTTACCTTCTTAGTTAGACTTATTTGTAAGTAACTTATTTGTCCTAAATTCTGGTGTCTTTTATAGGTTGCTGCCTGACTATATACCTCATGGTCTTGGTGAACAACTTGGATTTGTTCATGTGGTTGTTGAAGGATAGTTTTAGGAAGTGCTTGAGCTCCTGAGAAAATCTGGCTTATTATCTCAGATTTGGAGAATAATTTTGTTTATTGGTTGAATCTCTTTGAAAGTGATTGCTTGTACTCAGGGGTTACATATTATACAGGGTGGGGCAACAGTAGGTTTATAGTAAGTATGCAAAAATTTATTCTTGTATTATTTCTTTATTGTATTCTCCATACGAACAACTGTAAACCTACTTTGCCCTATCTATATGTGTACCACATTTAAACATTGCTGTCTCTGGGGTTCACAGATGAGTGCTACTGGTAGGTTGCTATGCATGAATGTGCAGGTCTGAGAGAGGTGGGGAGTGAGAGAGAGAGGAAGACAGAATTACAGACTGACTGAAAGGCTGCGCTTTGGATGGCATCACATAACTGCATGTACTGTGTAATTTTCTCTCTTTAGAATAAACTTGTTCGTTGCTGCACCAGTATATGTTTAAAAAGATGTGTGTTCTGTCAAGTAAAACCTTCCTTTATTTTGTTGTGTGTCTTTAGGGAAGTGGGATGTTGGAGCCTCATATTTTGTGGCTCTAATTTGAAGTCCTCTTCAGGCACCTATGGGCAGATTTGAAGGACTTTCAAAGCCCACAAATTGTTGCATGATGTTTGTCCCCAAGAGGGAATTTATCTGATAGAAGCTTATTAAACAGGGGAAGAAGTAAGAGGAGATTGTAACACAGGTGCAAAAATAAAAGATAGTTTTCAGTTGAATAGGATTCTGTTCCCTGGTTTGCCAGTGTGATTGCGTTCTCCTGGCCAGTTGAGTGACAGGATTGCCTGGATTTACTGGGTGATTGATTCCTCTTCACATGATCTTGGTATTTCTTTACAAGGGGCTGTCCTGCTTAACTTCTTTCTCTTTCTTTCCCCAGATGAACATTAGAGGGTAATGACTAGACCTACTGAAGGTCAGACAACTTCAGGAGCTTAGTTTTAGAAACTGCACTCTTGTGATATATGATGTTCTCAAGTATAACAAAAGCTTATATAATAATTTCTGGAAAAATCCTGACTGTATGGACTTTGAAAGGTTGTGGGTTTTTGGGGGGAAGAATTTATCTTATTCTCTTTCCATAATTTTCTCCTTTTAATAAAACCATGGCAGTTCTTTGTAGTGTGCTTTGTGAAAGGCCGCTTGCCCCTAACGCGCCCTGGAGGAGTGATGAGCGAAAGCTCTGTTCTCTGTGAACGCAGGCAAGGGCTTCACTCACGGCTTGCGCTTGACGTATAGTGCTGCCTCCTATCCCGAACCTAAAAGGGCACAAATGAAAGCCCAGCGGAGTTCTGAAACGGGCTGTGAGGGAGAGGCCCGAGCGCTGAAGAATTCGTCACTGGCGTTATTTTCTGCGCTCACATTTGTAGATATCCCGTTACTAGCATACCTACTGGTGCCGTTTTTGCAAACCTTGTGTTTATCTGCCATAAGAGACCTTGGAAATTGAGATTATGACAAGGGGTGTGCATAAAAATGTGATAAAATATTTCTTTTGATCAAAAAGTATTGGATCAAACAAAAATACTGGATATGTCTGATTAGTTTTTCTTTTCCATGGTGAGTATTAGATTCATTGTAACAGATTTAGTTAAATGCCAGTGACAAATATTGTGATTGTTTTATTACTCGAGTCTTTAATTCTTTTTTGTTATGCTTCTTATGTTTACCAATGTTTTCTGATTTGTAAATATATGCTGGAATTCTTTAGTAATATTGTAAATAGAAGCCGCATTAGAATCACAAAGTTCTCCCCACTCCTGGTTCAAATTTTGTTTTTAAGTTAATTTGGTAATACATAGTGAGGACAGTATAATTAGATGGCACCATTGTAGTGTTGATTCTAATTCTCTGATTGTCCCTACACTTTTTGAATCAATGTTAAATAAACTTGTATTTTACTAAATACAAATAACAATATTAAGTTTCTGGAAATAATTTTGCAGAGGTTGTAGATTTTAAGGTACTCTTAACTGTTTTCTGTTTTCATTTTAGATCGGGAAGATAATAAAATGAAATTACCAGATATGCCCTTAGTAATAAACCACTTCCCTCAGCCAAAGCTGGGCTCCCCGGGGATATGTGAGCCCGACGGACCTGATGATTCTTCCAGCTGCACTGATATCGAAGAAGACGCTCTTTCTTCATCCGAATCAGATACATTCAATAGGTAAGAAAGTCGTAGTCATTATTTTAAATGTCTTATTTCCTGCGCTAAGATAGGCACACATAATTAGAAATAACTTTGAGGCATAATGCAGTTCCTCCGTCACCTTTCACTGCGTGGTGACTTCACAGTGACAGCGAGGCAGTGCGTGGGAGAGGATGTGCAGCAACCCTAGGGGGGCTTTGTTTTCTACTTGTAGTCCTTATAACCCTATTTTTCCTGGAGTTGGATAGAGAGTATGTTAGGAGATGAAACTTTTGTCAAGACAATGAGTGAAGAAGGTAAAGATACTTACACTAGAAAATAGTGATGACCAGAAGGCCAGTGCACAGAGAGTAAAACAAAAATAGAATTTGTTCTCAAGGGGACAAATTGAGCAAATAGAATCAATAGGGAAACTTCAAAAATGAGAGATTTGGAGGGAAGTCATTTTCCAGATGATTTTTAAAATCATTAGCCCTTGCCGGTTTGGCTTAGTGGATAGAGCATCGTCCTGAGGACCAAAGGGTCCCAGGTTTGATTCTAGCCAAGGCTCGTAACTGGATTGCAGACTTCCTCCCCGGCCCGGGCCTTGGTTTGAAACAGGTCTTTTAGAGCAGGTTTTGGTTAGGATTGTGTAAGCCTAGTAATTCAGAATTGATGGATACAGCAAGATGAGGATTTTGAGATGAGGGGTTCAAAAACTCCTGTGGGTATGTCCTTTGATGCTTTCTCTTGAAAAGCTGTTGGATCTTTCAGGAAGCTTTTGTCTTAACAGTTAGCTTCCTTACAAGAGTGTCCTGGAATTAGTAGTTATATTGAAGAAACAGTGGATGGTAAAGTCTTGCTATTGTAGACACATAGTGTGTTGTTTTCTACAAACGCTATTCGAGTGCTCAGAGTGCTACATGTATTATATCATTCAGTCCACAGGCAGACCCCACTTTAGAAAGTAGAAATAAAAGGTCAGAGGAGTTGAATAAGTTGCTTATATGTGTCAGTACAAGGATTTGAACCCAGGTCTAGTTCTATTTTGAACCTCAGAGCCCAAGTTTGTTCTCCTGACAGATAATGATGCTATGGCCAACCTGCCTTGCTCTTAACATTCTTGAAAGAGTAGAAAAGTACAGTTCTTGAAATGGTTTTGTTTCCTGAGACTAGGATTGGGTGGACGTGGTTAATTTGGAAGGTGAAGGAACCACTGTAGGACGTGGGGGTGTGAGACAGGAACAGAAAGATAGCATTTAAGGGGGCCATGTTTTTAAACCAGATATCACTGTGAGCAACTGGAGTTTAATTCTCCTGGGAACTGGGAGCTGACTTGACACACACCTGAATCACCCCACGCAAGGGTCAAAGGGCAAAGAAGTCAGTTATTTGGTTGGGGCTGCTCTCTGCTGCCTCCGGCCTCCCATGCTGGCAACAGAGCCGACTGGCAGCGAGAGGACAGCTCAGACAAAGGCACTGACAGTTGGAAGTCAGGCCTGCTACACTGAGGCGTAAAGACTCGGGTAGGAGCAGGGCACCCAAAGGATCTGCCACGGCAGTGATTCCAGCTGAAGATGGGAAAATGGTTTGGGTTTGCATATGCTTTATTAATACAAATGGGTTGCTATAGGCTTTTGCCTGTATCTCTAGCCCAAGAGAATGCAGGGTATGTGCTGGCATTCCAGAGCTTTTGCACCTCTGTGTGCCTGCCAGGAAGGGAAAAGGTAAGGATGTCTAGGGCTGATGAAGAAGTGATAGCTGAGCAGATGTCAGGGATGGGGCAGAGGAGAAAAGGACAGATTACCTGAGGCAAATGGCTCCAAAAACTGAAGGAAGGAAATGTGCTTGTTGACGAGAAATGATTTAGTTTTAAGTCTTGTGTGACGACAAACCAAAATGTGAAATAATTCATCATCAAACTGAAGTTTATCGACATACTAAATGAAAATATCTTGGCTTTGGGCAAAAAGTCACAAGCATAGAACTACCCATAGTTCTTTGATTGGCAGTAATGTGTTTTTATTATCCTGCTTTGTTTCTCCTTCCCAGAGATAAGAGCACTATTGATGGGCTTTGTGAATATGGACATCCTCTCCCACTTCTGGGGTTACTCTGTTGGATATGGCAGATAGGCCTGCTGCTTTTGTTTGTTTGTTTTTTGTTTGTTTGGTTGGTTTTTTGTTTTTTGTTTTGAAAGTCTTAAGTACCTTATAAATGGGTGAGTTTTAACCCTCCTTGGATATAATTTTTAAAAGGCCTGCTCTGCCCTGGTTGTGACTAATGTGTCAGACATTAGTCTGGGGTGGGATGTTAACAATGGAAGAAACTCGGTACAGGACATATGGGTACTTTCTGGAGTATCTGCCACTTCTCTTTATTTTTATTTTATTTTAAGAAACTTCATTTAAAAATATATATTACAACAGCTTTTTATTTTAAAAGGGATATTACTATGAAATTATTTAAAGAATGTACTGAATGTTGGAAAATCAAAGTCATCAAAATGTTATTTTCTGAAGTGGTAAATTGGGTACTGTTTCTGGGTTGTAGTAAGTTTAGTTACTAAATATTCTATTTTTCCTTTCACTTAATATTAGATGTTACAGTTAGTCACATAGATTAATTAATAAATCCTGTTTTAATGTATTCTATAAAGTCTATTATCATTTATATTAAAATTTAATCCAAAATGTAGCATGAGGAAAGAATTATATTTTCTTCCCTATTGTCTTATTTCTTTTAAATCAGTTTGGGTTTTTTTTTGCTAACGTTTTTACTTCATAGAATGATTTCACCTCAGAGGATGTGACCCAGTCTTTGCATTTCATCATAAGAATTTACAGTGTGCCTCATCCTTGTCAGTTAGCATGTTTTTATTAGTGAATTTATACTTGCAAAAGTGATCCTCCAAGAACAAGGTGAAAGTACAGATAGTTTTATCTTTCTCCAGAACTCATTTGCCAAAGGATATTTGCTGTTAATAAGGTTTTATTTTACTTGTAGGCAGTTCCTGTTGGCACCTTCGGGTTTATTTTTCTTATTGTGCCGTATGCTGGGTAATCTGATTATTTTTACAATAGCTTTTTGTTATTGTTTTATAATTCTCAGTTTTTCTACTCTAAGTCAATCCTAAGTGGCAAATATTTTTATTTTACAAAGTTCATGAACTGCTCTGATGTAAAAGGTCCTCTGTATAATTACTCTGAGCCCTTCAATTTTCTGTGTCAGAAAAGAATTTTAAAATTTCAGTGGGTTATTACTTGTGTATCTAAAGTACTTTGTAGAATTTAGTAGTTCCTTTCAGGGTCTACTCATACAAATGATACCTTCTTGTCGTGGCTCATAGCCATGTCTGATCATCACTCAAAGTATGATGGTTAGAGTTTTGACTGGCATGACATGGTAATACTTGGTTAAGGTTGAGTTTTTTAAAGTAGGTTTTCCCTTTTTAGTTTTCAGACATTTTGTAAACTACATAGGAATTCTTGTTCCATATGCTTCTGCACATATTTGGCTTGATTCATGAAACAGATATAATCTTGACTGATTCAGAATTCAATTCTTCAATTTAAAAAAATGGAATAGGCAAGAGTCTATTTTTCAAAATGCTTTGAGAAGAATAAGTATGAGACCTTGAAGGAACTACTAGTTCCTTCTAAATGTTAGACATAAAATCAATAATTATTTTGTATCAACACTCCCAGACCCCCAAATGTAGCTTAAGAGCTTTCTATAGTTTTTTGTTTTTAAAAAGGCCAAAACCAGAATTCTTTTGACTTTGTTTAGGAGAATGAAATAGAAATGACATATAATTGATATATCATGCTATTGGGATTTTGTATTTTTAATCAGTTGATCAAGTTTATAATTTGTTATAGTTACCTCGGAAGTTAAAATTAGAGCTTTTTTCCTGCCTTCTCACTTTGTACTCCTTTGCTTTTAAATCAGAGGAACAGATGTTCTGAAATCTCTTTGGAAACCTTTAGAACCCGAGAAAGGATGTTAGGATACAAACATTTTCAAGTTGGAAGGTACCTCAAGAAGTCACTAAATATAGTAACTTCATATCACAGATAAGAAAATGGAGGCCTAGAGACATGATGTGTCATTCAGTGAATACAGTTGAAAGCAATACATTTTAGCCCAGGTCTTTCCCCATTGCCATGTGAGCTACATCAGAATGCTTGTATCAGGCGCCATTGTTTCCTTTATTAGCAGCAGTTCATTTTATTTTTTAAATTATCTTTCTTGTTGAAGTATTACAGATGTCCCCCCTTTTTTCCCCCATTGACCCATCTACCCACTGGAGTTATTCAAAATATCAATTAGACATGGAATTGCCATATGTTCTGGTTTCCCTGAGGTAGCTGGTTTTCATTTCTTGTCTTGACATCATTAGCCACAGCTCCCTGTGGATCTCTCCAGAGCGCCTGGGTGTAGATGGTAGATTTTACGGATGGCTTACTGGAAGGACAATCAGTGTTAGTTTGCACATCTTCTCTGGTCTCTTCACTCCCGCACAGATGGTCAAGTTCTGGAACCTGGGTACATTAGATCACCGACTTTGCTTACTTCTATTGATTTTACCACATAACGTAGTGCAAGCTGTTCTTGGACCTGAGAGAGACTCAAGTATTAAAGCGTGATGGGCCTCAAAGGCTTGTTATTTTTTTAATTAATTTTGTAGAAGTCAGTTGTCGAACCCTTTAAGATTTCATTAATGTGTGCTTAAGTATGCTTCTGTTGCTCTAGATGATTACATTTTATTAGCTATTTGTAACCTGTGTAGGTAAGAAAACAAGTGAAAAATTAAAAATATGTATCAGAACATGAAAAGTTGGGGTAAATATAGTTCGGGAGGGATAATTATTTTTCATACCCTAGACCATTTAGTGAAGTACTTCATTACTGTGGAAACTGAGTCACAGGGAGGTTCAGTGTCCACTGCCTAACATCCAGCAATATAAGATGATTTTAAAGTTCTTGAACAGATGGTGAGACCTGAGTTTTTTGGTCTGAATTTTGACTTAATATTG